CGCTTCGTTTTCAAGAGTTTGCTTTTCCTTTTCCAATTTGGCCACTAATTCATGGTGTGCCCTCTTCTCGCTCTCCATCCGCGCCTCATAATCCTCCTGCAACTTCCTCTTCTCTTCATCAACTTTTTCTTAAACAAGGGAGGCGCTCTTGGCCGCCTCGAATTGGGCATCTTCACACATCTTTATTAATTCTTCTTGCCTCTTCTGAGCTGTGGCGAGGTTGTCTTGGGCAACGCCAAGAGATGTGGATGCCTTGTTGGTAGAGGCGCGTAAGGCCTCCCGCTCTAGTATGCCCTTCTTGGCCACAACCATCATCTGCAAAATGAAGCATAAAAGTTGATCATATTGCCATTGAAAAAGATAAATGCAGCATGAAAAATTGTTTTTACACCAAGCGCATGCATACATGGGCGCTTATTCGGCATCATTTCGCCCCAAGGATCGACGCCGTTGAGGTCAAGAGGCGCCCTGAACAAATCCCCTGCGGACAAAGCCATATGAATGGCGGCGCCACGTTCCAAGGCAGATCTGTCTGGGCATTCCAAAGTAACCTTGTGCTTCGGAGGCTGAAGCCACTTTTCGATAGACTCCGGAAGAGGCGTCTCGTCATCCACTCGCGGTTTCTTCCCCGACGCGTCCTGGGCGCCCTCAGACTTTCTCTTAAGCTTTCTGATCAAGGGAATCTCGTCCTCCGCTGCCTCGGTTTCTTGCAAAAAGTCGGTCGGCGCCGAGGTTTCTTGGGGCATCGTGTCAATAGGTGCCTGTTCCTCCGAAACTTCTACGAGATCAGTCCCAGATTTGGTCGGGGGGAGGGGGGCGCTTGGAACTTTGTCGGGCTTGACCCTCTTGGGAGATTTCCCTTTCCTCCGTGCACGCCCCTTTCCTTTCTCGGCCTCGGGCTCAGGCGCCTGTGATACACCAACAACTTTCTTAGCTGCCTTCGAAGTATTCCCCTTTGAGACTTGGGCGCCCTTCGCCCGACCTTTCCTTGAACTAGGCGCCACCTTGGCTGCCACTCCCATCTTCGCGAACTGGCTCTTCATCAGGGAGGCCATGGAAGTGAAATCCGCACCTACACAAAAACACATAACAGCGTGTAAGGTTAGTAAAGTTAAATGTACAACACAGGGCACCCGGTAATAGCATTCCCTAAGCGCACAAGTCCAATGTTCAAAAGAAGCAAAATGCAATATTCAAAAGCTAAATAGGCGCCCACCATCGCGGTAGTACGCGTGTAGAACGGGCGTCCTAGTCGCCGTTGAACTCAAGTCCACGGGGTGCAGTGATAGAAGATGGGCGCTCTCAATTTCCTCGTCCGTAGTCAAAGGCGCCCCAACATTAAACGCATCTGCGTCGCCGATTGCCCAACCTCGGGTGAACGAACAGCCACTTTCGTAGAAGGTCTCTCTACGTGCCTCGATAAAGAAAAAGGCTCTGAACCATTCCCTTCCTAACTTTGGAGAATCCGTTAAGAAGAGCCCAAGAATGTCAATGCGCCTTTGCAAAGATAAACAGTTGTCACTATGCACCATGGTAAAGAAGTGGTGGAAAAGTTTAAAGGTGGGTACGATGTTATGTTGACGACACTTCAACTTGAAAAGAATGTGAATAAGGAAAACAGAAGGGGATAGACGCCCAAGCGAGCATTGGCACAATTCATTATGCCTTCGAGGATCGAATCTAACGGAAACCGTAAACCGAAGCGGAAATATTCCCGGTAGACTCCAAGCCAACGGGGGTCGACCACCCCAATTCTTGCCACGCACGGTGCAGGCGCAAAGGACCAGGCGCGCGGAAGTTGTAACGAGACGGCCAAGTTCTCTAACTCGAGCGCCTTGATGGTCGACACCTGCAGTGGCCGAGCCTCTTCAATGGTCAAGTGGCAGGTCTCTGCCCAATTCATAATTTTCACAGAATCATCATCAGAGGCGCCTGAGTCAGTTGATGTGGGGGACATCTCCAAATCGGACGATTGCGGAGATCCAGGCGCATGGCCTATAATGTTGACGCAAACGGGGCAGAGTCAATCCCACTATCCTAGATAGCTAGAGGAGCCTAAAAAAAAGGGCGGAACAGTTGAAATTGGCAAACCTCACTTACGTTTGGCTTGTTAGGCGCGACAGCGGCCGAAGTTCCCGTCTCGGCGGCTGGCACTCGAGAGCTGCGGGGCGCCACCACGGAAGAGGAACCACCGTCCTTGGCGGGCACTTCTTGGCTGCCACGGGGCGTCCACCCACCCGATTCTCGATTAGGATCAGGGGAGAAGTGCTTCTCCAGCAACTTTATCACATCAGGCGCCGAGCCCTCGTTCGGAGGCGCATCGCCGGATGAGACGCCCTAGCTGGGTGGCTTCGTCATATCCGGAGTTTTGGATTTTTTGGAAGGAGGCGCAGCGCACGTTTTTGGTAGAGAGACAGGTTTAGAGAGAGAGATTTGAGGCGAATGAGCGAGGGAGGGGGGCGGCCGACTGTATTTATAGGAAAGAGAATCCCAACGGTCAGATATAGGGATGCACGCCATCAAGTCCCTTCATCCTCACCGTCCGTTCAAAATTCCAATTTTGATTTTCCAAAATTATTGAAAATTCCAAATTAGAAATGTCAATTTGGAAAGCGCACGGCGAGGGGGCAGGGATAGGCGCCTTGATTTAAACAATCATGTTAGGGGTAACAGGGTCGTAAGCGCTTGGATTTGGTCGTGAAGGCGCCTGAACTCCGAGGTTGAGGACATGCTTGATTGGAACAGGAAGAGCAGTTTTGGAACGAGATACATGGGATGGGCACGCAAAAACACCACGATTTTGGGCAAGGACGCGCATTAGTATCTAGGTAAGTAATGCGCCTAAGTTAGGCGCCTCCATAACAAGGTAGGGGCGTTGCGGGTCCGGGCCGAGTACGAAGAATGGATGATTGAGGGCGGCCGAGTGTGGAGAGTGTTCAGGCGCCTACTGAGCCAAGAAGGATGGTAGCCGTAGTTGAAACAACCACTCAGGTGTTGTATATAGTTAGGCACCCATTGACAACCATGAGCGCCTAACTGGGGGACAATTGTTGGGTGAGCGTGAGTGGACCAGTGGGGGACATGGACTCAAGAGACTGGGCTGGGCCCAAGCCCAATTGAGAGCTTGGGTGAGGAACAAAGCAGGAGTGGGCCCAAACGCAGAGGAGCGGGTGCATAACGACAAAAGGGATGCGGGGACCACGCTGCTCCGAGACTAGGAGGCTGGGAGTGTGCCACCTGGAAGTGTGGTCCTGCCAGGCGCCCAGGCGCCAAGATCCGGGAGCTGCCACGTGTAGATGACCGACCGTTGGGCCGTACCAGGCATTTAATGATGTGCTGACGTGGAGCTGAATTCCAGGAGCCTGGTCGGAACCTCGACGAGTGTAAATAGTACTCGGTAGGTAGCATTTAAGCAGGTTGACTTCTCTCACTACAAACTCTCGAATCACTTATCTCTCTAAAAACATACTCTGACTTGGGCGTCGGAGTGCTAACGGGCAGTCCCAAGCCCACTAGGCGTTTGCCTGTGCAGGATCTGTGCGCCTGACGTGGTGAGCGCGCTAGTCAAAGACGGGAAGGCAGGTTCGGAGTTTTGTGGCTTCAACAAGTATTTTTGCCAGCTTTTATTCACCTACCAATTTCTTTTAAATACTTCTAGGGAAGCAATCTTTTTAGCAGCTTTACCCCCTACTAACTAAGTTCTTTAAAATTATGCATATGTATATACAACAAAAATTTCATTTAAATACTCGTATAAGATCGTTCTCTTAATTATCAAAACAAATGAGCTATACAATAACGAAATGTAAAGTTAATTATTTTTTTTAATTTATATTGAACTTAATGTTAAAAAGTTAGTTTATAAAGTCATGTTAATCGTTTTAATGAATAGTTTGTGACGTTATAATAATACAAAAATTCTTTTTAAATATTTTCTTGTAATTATTTTTGTTCATTTTGCGGTAACATACAAAAAGATTTCCGCCCCTACCCTCAATCCGGGAGACACTAATCTTCAAATGCAGGGAGAGAAAATGGGTCTTCGACAACTGTTTTGTAAGAAGATCCGCGAGTTGAGCTGAGGAAGGAACTTGACTAACATCGAGCTGGCCTTTTTCCACTCGATCACAGACGAAATGGTAATCGTTAGCGACATGCTTCATACGTGAGTGAAAGATCGGAGTTGAGGTAGGTGGCATTGAGGTTGTCACAGTGAAGAACTGGGTGGAGGAGAATGAGGTTGCTGAAGTTCCATGTAAAGAGATGTATGCCAGGACAGTTCTACGGCGGCGGCTGCAACAGCTTCATACTCAGCTTCTGTGGAGCTTCGTGCGATGGTTTTCTGCTTCTTGGAGGCCAGACTGACAAGGGTGCCGCTTAAAATAGATATATAAGATAAGTCGTCGTGGAGGATCGGTCATCGAGATTACCAGCCCAATCATCATCATTATCATTTTCGCTATCCAACAAACTAAAGGATAATTGAAGATAGGGGTGAACAATTGAAGAGAAAACTCCATCTCATGTCCCAAGTCCATACGGGTTAACAGGCACCCATTACCCGTACGTGACGGATAACGGATACCCACGGCCACGGCTAACCCGTAACTTGTACTAATAGCTAGCATGAGTTTCCAAAATGTAAATGAAACATGATTGCGGGAGCTGGGAAATAAGCATCGACCAGCTGTAGTGGTCGTACTTGAAGAGAGTCAAAGTTGTATAATTTCAAACTGATGATAGTAAATCGTTGTTAACAGAAGGAAGAAGGCAAAGCAGTGACAAATTATCTCGTTCAGAATACGGATCTACCAATTTCAAATATGTCACTCTGATAGCTTCTAATTGAAGGAGAGTGGTATTGGAGTAACAATATGGCAGAGTGAAGGGCGGGGGGTAGTTAACCCTCAATACAAACTACTATGGAGGAGACATAGAATTCAGCGACGGTGAGAAAGTAAAGACCGAGTACGATCGAAATTCCCTAGCTCCGGTATCGCTCAATTGAAGAGTCCGCGTATAGCCACTCCAATGCTCATTTCGAACCCAAGTATCAGAACCGCGGCAACCAAGTTCAGCACAAATGGCATCCCCAGCATCAATAGGATACTATACAACCACTGCGGCATCCAATTTGAAGGTCGGCCCGAAACTGTGGCGGGACCTCGAGGTATGATAGCTTGATTTCTCTCCGGCTTCGCTTTCAGATGTGCAGCCAGGGAGCTGAGGTACGCCTGGGCAATGGCGGGAGTGGCGTCGGGATCGGCGCTGCCGTCGTCGGCTACGGCGGAGCTTGGCCAGCCAGTTGCGGCAACCACCAGAGTGATATCTTGGTAGCCATAAACCTTCAAGGAGTTAGTCACAGCATCAACCATTAGATCGAACATATTGTGATATGTAATCCCCGTTCTAAAATCACGGTAGAAGCTCTGTTCTCCCCCATGAAACAGAGAAAACCCCAGCGGTATCTGTGAGTAGATCCGGCTGACTTTGTAGGGGTACAGGTCCACCAAGAATATGGAATTGCGATCTTCCAAGAACTGGAGCAGCGGCCGGATCACTTGCTCTCCCATCGGCTCCCGGAAATTGGACAGAGACGGCGGGATTACTCCGGTGACGACGTCGAGGAAAGAGAGAGTCGCCGTGACAGAGATATTCTTGATCCCGGCATCTCGCAGCGCCAAGTCTACATTACGGATTGCTGGCAACAGTAATTCCGATTGCAAGATGGGGACGGTGTCGTCTCCGACGGAGATTACGGCGATCGTGGAGTGCGGGTAGAAAGGAAGCACGTGGACTCGAAGCCAGTCGTCGGCCACAGAGCGACTGGAAGCCAGCGGGATCAGTAGCTCGTTCTCGATTGAGATGAGCAGGGAGACATTGGTGAAGGCTAGGGCTCGGATGATGCCGGGATCTGGATGGGAGAGGCGCACTGCTCGGAATCCGAGGGCGGATACAGCGTACGCGATGGCGTCGGGATGTGAGAGCTGCGGTGGAGGAGGAAGCTCGGAAGCATTGCCTTCGATTGAGGAGGACGGAGGCCAGGTGAGTGGAGAAACGCCGATGAAGGAGGCGGAGGAGGATGAAAGGGAGGTGATGGGACAAACGCCGATCACGGCGGCGGAGGAAGATGGAGGCGTGAGAGGAGAAGTGTAGGTGACGCCGACGACGGTGGCGGAGGTCGGAGCCGTGAGGAAGAGAAAGCAAAATGCGTGAAAGGAAAGCTTGAGCAGCAGAGTATCCATGGCGGTTCTTGGTTTCTGTGAGCAAGGACAGTTTGTTATGCGCAGCTCGCGACGACGATTACAGCGTGTTTTTATAAGCTGGAACGGAGTATGCGCTGAGCCGTTCGATTTTCTCTTCATCAATACCATGTGGCCGTTCGATCTGATGATGACGCCAGCATCACGGTTCCTGGGATGGAAACAGAAAGAGAATTGAGAAGTGGACAGCTGGCAAGAAGGAGAGACTAGAGTTCGCGAATCGCGACTTGCTTTGATTTTGAAAGCGGGATTTCTTTAGGTCTCGTTTGCTTGTTGGATTTGAAAATGAAGGTTTTGAGTTTCAAAAATCTTTGGATTTATGATGGATTTGTTGCATCATGGATTTGGAAGAGTACATTGTTTGTTTAGTTGATTTTTTATCATGGATTTGTCTCACATTTTTTCCTTCTATTGTCAAATCCCAAATGAAATGTGGGATTTACAAATCCGTGGGGTCCACGAATTTGGATCTAAAAAATGGGTCCAAATTCGTGGACCCCCACGGATTTGTGTCCCTCAACAAACAAAGGATTTGTGTCAACTGCATGATGCTTGGGGTTTGGGTTCCAAATCCATCACCCAAATCCCACAAGCAAACGACCCCTTAGACTAACTCCAACCCCAAAAGCTATATTTAGCCTCCCAAGCTCTCAAATGTGCATATTTGCCTCCCCAAAACACCTTTTTGCTCCAACCCTAAAAGCTTCCAAATTTAGCTTCCCACATCTTTTTTTGATTTAATTTCCATAATCCATACTTATTTACAATATCATTCTTGTAATTCACTTTAATTTTTTTATAGTTTGTTATTACTTGTGAAAACAAAATTTTTGATGTAATTTTTTTTAATTCCGAGATAATTTTTTTTTGTGCAAAATTAGTCATTTTTTATGGCCGTTAAAATGTGTCCGTTGCAATGTGACCGTTTTATTGTCACTATATTACTTCTTTCAAACTAAAACGCAAACACACCCACACAAACTAAAACGCAAACATACCCACACAAACTAAAACGCAAACACACCCACACAAACTAAAACGCAAACAAAAAATGAAAAAAAAAAATAAAGCAGCAGCAGGGGACCCCGCGTGCAGGCGAGGGCCACCTGCGGAGGCGCGCCTGGGCCGCACGCGCGCGGGAGGAAGGGCGCGCCTCCGCGGGTGGCCCTCGCCTGCACGCGGGGTCCCCCTTCCAGCTGCTATTTTTGCCCCTTTGCTCCATGGAGGCTTCTATCTATCCACCCCAACACTCCATTCTCCAAATTTGGAAGCAAAATTGAAGGTGGGTTGGAGATGAAAAAATGCAAAATGTTCACTTTCTCCAAATTTGCAAGCAAGGGTTGGAGTTAGTCTTAGTCTTTGCATTCTTCTTTCAAGCCGTTTCAATTATAACATTGGCCGGGAAGCGGAGACCGGGACGGGAGAAGGGCTCGAAGAGGAAATCAACGGGCCATATGGGACGAAAGGCCCAGAGAAAGGCCGAGGCTGATCTGGGAAAGGGACAAAAAGCTAGGCCCAAAGAAGCTATAGAGAATTAGATGTTTGATATAATTTTAGAATGCTCATAACCCGAAATCTTATCCGAAATTCGATGGCTTGGGTCAATATTTGACCCAAAATCAGCCAACCCAGCATAATCCGACCCCTGACGATTCATAATCAATATTCTCAACCCGAAATTACCCAGCCGACCCGATTGTCAGGTCTACTTGAAAATTATTTTTTCAAACGGAACGATCACCAAGTTATCCACCTAATCCAATCCATTTAAATCCAATTCATTTGATCCAAATTCAATTGGATTGGTGGATTCATGGATCAATCCATGGATCCAAATGGCAAATTACGATTTGGTACCTATATTTTGTATATTTTACATTTTGGTACCTTAAATTAATATTTTTATACGAAAAATATCATTGGAAAATTACATTTTGGTACCTAAAATTTTTCATTATGACATTTTAGTACCAAAGCTTTTCAAAATTTACATTTTGGTCCAAACCTTGGATGTCAATTGGATTCATGGATCAATCCACCAATCCATTTGATCCAATCCATGAATCCATCAATCCATTGGATCCAAATCCATTTGATCCATGGATCCACCAATCCAATCCACGAATCCGATCCAATTGCCACCTCTACTGTTCACATTAACGCTTATATCAATGCATTAACTGCACTAGAACTAGGGGTGGCAATTGGTCGTTTTCGGTAAACCGAAAACCGAAAACCCAGTTATCGGTTAAACCGAGCCACACCCTATACCTACCGACCACCGACCGTGAGAGAGGTGACGGTTAGCCGACCAACCAACCGGTCGGTATCGGTTTTAGGCTCGGTTAGCCGGCCAAGCGGAAAATTACCTTTTATCAATAAAAAAAAATTAAAAGAACAAAATTTTGAACAACTCATTTCAATCCTTATCTTCTCCTCTCTCCTTCCTTTTCCACCAGACCACTTTCTTCTCTCTCCCTTCCTCCACCAAACACACCCACCAAAGTTTGGTTTCCCGGTGAAGAAAAGCGCTGCAGGAGAAGCGGCGGGAGACGACTCGCGCCGGAGGGAGATGGCGGGACTGCTGCGCTGCGTGTCGCGACTTGCGAGGGTGGCCGGTGCATTGGTGGTTGGTGGAGGTCGAGCTGCTGCTGCCTGCGAGTGGAGGCGGAGGTCGAGCGGCGGGGCGGTGAGGGTGGAGGCAGCGGGGCGACGTCGACGATGGTGGAGGCGGCGCGGCGACGTCGACGATGGTGGAGGCGGCAGTGGTCGTGAGTCGTGAGGGAGAAGGAGGGCGGCGGTGGTCATCTTTTTCTTCTTTCTTCTTTCTTCTTCTTCTGGGTTTTCATTTTGAGAGGTGAAAGGAAGAGAAGAGAGAGAGGATGACGGAAGAGAAGAGGGTCGGGAAGGGAATCGTCTAGGGTTTGGGGAGGGACTAGAGAGGGGGTCGTTTTGAGAAGGGGCCGGGTCGTTTAGGTTAGGCTGGGTAAAGGCTCGGTTAGTCGGCTAACCGCCGGTTTTCAACCTCGGTTGGTCGGCTAGCCATTGTGATCGGTTTTTCGGCTAGCCAAAAACCGGTCGAAGTCCTCTACTGAAACTTAAATTCTCCCCTCGCTATCGACGACCGACCGACGCCATTGGGATCGGTTTTTCGGCTAGCCAAAAACCGGACGGTTCGGTTGAAACCATCCGGTTAGCCGCTAACCGGAAAACCGTCCGCCAGCCCTAACTAGAACTCCATTTCTCGGTATAAACACGGCGAAACAAATCATCTAGAGTAGCGCATAAAGGTATGTTATTATCTCCTCTTGAGCTTGTTTTATTCGAATCTGTAGGATGACTTCAGTGAAGTGTTACTTTTAGAAGGTTCCTAGATAGATTCTATTGTCATTACTTGGAAAAGAAGAAAAAAAAAACCGAAACAAATCCATAGGAAGCTAGGAAACAATGGCATAAATATGCCACTTCTCTATATCCTTTGAGTAATCTCAAGGAAGGGTGATTCTCTGCCCCGAACCCAGAACTTGAACGCCTGTGGGGCATTTCTTCTTGTATCATATTCATCTCCTCGTCTCTCCTTCATCCCTAAACTTTTCTCGATTATGTGGTAACAAGTCTCACTGAGCATCATGGATGGCAACAAAACCCGAACCCACGAGTATCCAGCCGACCCAACCCGGTCAACGCGGGTAAAATCCGTGTTGACGGGTTTTGGGCCGGATTCTGGTTTAAACCCGTTCACTATTCACTGGGTTGGGTTGGGTTTGGGTTTAGGTAAACCCGCTCCATGGGTACCCACCCACACCCCTATAATTAATTTCTCGATATATTTAATTTTCTGAACAACTAATCTTATTTATTTTTGTGGAGACATGTCTACTTTTTTTCTTCTTCTAATTGTGTAGAATGAAGTTGATGTTATCGAGTGAAGAGTGAAGAAACTTAGGGGTCGTTTGGAGAACGGGATTTAGGGCGTGGATTCATTGAATCCGTAGATTTTGTAGAAAGTTATGTTTTTTTGTTGCCTTTTGTATTGTGGATTTTAGCTTTAGAGATTTCAAATCCCTAAAATCTATGGATATCAAATCTCTCATAATCAGAGAGATTCTATTATTGATTCATGAGATTTTTTTTCTCCTACCTTTTCTCTTTCTTTTATTTATTTATCATATTAAATATATTTACTAACAAAGTTTTTAATATTTCTCGAACTACTCTAATTTTTTTTATTAAGGATAAACATATTATTTAATATAAAAATTTTATTTTTATTTTCATTTATTGTTAACAATCACAGTTACCAAACAATAAACATTTTAAAATCTATTTTCAACAATTCGAAGAGTTAGAATCTTTAGATTGTTGACAATCTATAGATTTAAACTCAAATTTTCCAAACAACCCCGCAGGAGGAAAATACCCGGTCAGGTGGCCAAATACCCGACCGGGTATTCACTATTTTTGGGCGCCCGAGAAACAGAGAGGGGCCCGGGCAGAATGCTAAAATCCCCGGTCGGGGATTATTGGATCAGACCGGGGATTTTCCCTTTACCCAAGCGGCGCGTTTTGATTATACCCAGTCGAAATCCAAAATACCCGACCGGATATTTCGACCGGGTATCGCGACCAGGCAGCTGATTTAAGGGAAAGGAAGGCCAACATTGAAGGGTTCCGAGTTGTTGAGAGAAAAAGCGATTCCTAGAGAGAGAAAGTGACGAACCAGAGTTCCCAAGTGCCATAGCTTGATCTTCATCACCATTGGAGCCCGGCTTGAGCTTGGAGAAGTGCCGATTAAACGTCCAAGAGCAGAAATCAGTCTTCACAGTATGATTTCCGCGTCTGAATCTGCTTTTGCTTCTTTCTCTATGGAGTAGTTCCCCCATTCATCTGGGTATGGGGAACCCTAGATTTGTATGCTAGGTCTGATTGTATGAACCCAAGTACAGAGTTTGTGAATTGATTATATTCGATTGAGGTTTGAA